AGATGGTCACTTTTACAGCTCAATGAAATCTTTTTTTTTTTTCCCCACGGCAGAACAAGCTTTGGCCATATACAAGAAACTCCCTGATAAGGCAAGTGAATTATGAAGGCCAAACGTCCCCAAGGTCCAACACTCAGTGACTGCACGAGGAAGGGGCCTGGACAGGCCTTGGGAGCTCAGCTCTGTGTGCACCAGTGTCCCTGGCTGTTCCTTCAAATGGCTGGGAAGCTGCTTGGAAGGCGACTCTGGGGGCCCTTTCTGAATCCTTTGTGTGGTATGCCTCAAGGTCACATCACTTGGAAATCACTTGACAGATCCTGTTTCAAAAGAGGGCGTTGGACCATCTGGTCTCCCTAAGGTATTTCCAAGTCTGACATCCTAAATCGAGGCAAAGATCTAGGTCCTCGGAGATACAAAGAGGGGGCTCATTTGGTTCCTGTCTCTGAGAAGCTGGCAGTTCAGTGGGGAGATGGATCACTGTACCTAAAGCTAAAGCCTGCCCACATCTACACTGTGGCAGAAGGACACGGGGCTGTCCGGCACAAGACACTGGTTGGGCCGGTTCTCCAACTGTACAATATGATAGAGCATTCACCCGAGTACTTCCTGTGCTAAGGATAGGGGGTGAATGTGAACACGACAGCGCCTCTTCTTCCAGAGAAGACCTGGCATGAGGGCAAGAGAGCCACAAGCTTCCTCGGGGCCAGGCTGGAGGTGGAGGCAGTGTGGCGAAGAGATGCCTGGCAGGGCAGCACAGCCTGGATGTCCTCCACAGCCCTCTCTAGGTCCACCTTGGACACCTGCCACCCCAAGGCCCGTTCTGGGCTCTAGGCCTCACCCAACAGGGAGCGAGGGAAGCCCTGTGTTAGCCCCTGCTCCCACACTGACTAGCCATGACAGCCATGACCTTGGGCGAGCCAAGGCTCTCAACGCAGGGCTGAGATTGCCGCCCCTCTGTCAAAGGAGCTCGGCCTGGATGATGCCCATGCTTAGCCACAGAACCCCACGGGGGAGCTCCAAGGCCAGGGGCCCATCTCTCCGCAGGTGAGATGGCTGAGGGTTGTAAGTGTGCCAGGGTCACCTAGGGATGAAGCAGAGCTACAACTGACACCCGGTCCTGGGACACCACAGGGGGCCATCCATTACAGCTGGTTCATAACCTGAAGACAAGACTCCTGTCCAGAGGTGGGGAACCTGTGGCCTTGAGGCCACATATGGCCTTCTAGGTCCTCAGGTGCGGCCTTTTGACTGAGTTCAAGTTTTACAGAACAAATCCTTTTAAGGGGCCCTCTCTCTGCAGTAAGTGTCCTTTGGGGGTCAGAGGAAGGATCAGGACTCCAGGGGATGTAGATGACCCAGGGGCTCAGGAAAACCTCTGAGGCTCCCCAGAGATTGGGGAATGGGCCTGAGTCACCCTGCGAAAACTCCCTGATTTTATTCCCACCCCAGAGGCCAGGAGAGAGCCTGGCTTCGCCACCTCCCCTATTCATTCCACAAGCATTGATGAATCCTAACCATGGCTCCCACGGGGAGCAAAGTGAAAGGTGGGCATGAACCTGCACATGCATGTGCGTGTACACATGTACACGTACACACACTGATACACACAGACATAGGCACAAACACACACTACCACTCCTCCCTCTAGAGTAGCAGTGCCTCATGCCAGGGACACCCCCTCCCCCAACCCCTTCACCTCCCAGGCTCATCAAAGTTCTCCAGGAAGCTTTTCTCACCCTTCCGGCTGACCCCGCCCTCCAAAAAACCACCTTGCATCTATCTTCTATTTCACACACACCTCTGTGCATACAACATCTCCTCCAAAAGAGGGTCAGCTCCTTCAGGGCAAGGAAGACTTCACAGGCCCAGCGCCCAGCCCGGACCACTAGCTTAATAAACACGGGTCCTTCGGACAACCCTGTTAAGGAGGCCTTAGTATTCTCAGACTTATACAGATGACAAAAGGGAGGCTCAGGAGCACTAAGCCGAGCGGCAGCCTAGCACAGCTGATAGAGACCCGGCACTTACTAGTGAGGATACCCTAGGCAAGTCCCTTTCCTTCTCTGTGCCTCAGTTTCCTCATCTGTAAAATGGGGACATCATTTTGGATGGGGCCCGGACCAGTGATTTATTTAGCGAGGGGGGGAGGTCCCAGGTGAGGAAAGCCCCTCTCCCATTCTGTACCTTAGGGCCTTAGAACAATTCATACCTGGAGTCTTCTTGTCCCACAAGGTTGTCACAAGAATCAATCAGGATCACGGACCCACGTGCTTCCTTTGAAAAGCCCAAGGCCCTAAATCTAGCTATGCGTCAGCTAATATAATTATTATTATTATTATTACTATTATTATTATCGAGAGGGAGCCAGGGCCAGCGTGTGCCAAAGGAGCACGGAGAGACAAGAAAGCACCAGGTCCCTGGGCAGAGGGGTGGGAGGCAGGGTCTCCAGCCCCCACTTCCTGCTCATCTCCCTTATATCTTAGAGGCCCAGGGCACGAGCACTTAGTAAGTGCCTACTGTGTGCCTAAGCGCTCTGCAAATATGACCTCGTTCGATCAGGAAGGCCGTTCCTGGCCGGGGTGGCTCTGGCCTCGTCGCCTTCCCGCCTGTTCCTCAGTTTCCCCAGCTGTACCATGGGAGGGCCGGCCTCCATGGCCTCTCTGGGGCCCAGGGTGGGCCCGGGCGGTCCTGAGGGCCTCAGTTTCCCCCGCTGTAGAACGGGGCCCACGCGGCCTCGCGCGCCCGGGGCAGGGCGCCACCCCCCACCCCCGCCGGGCCGTGACCTTGAGCGGCCCCGCGAGCTCGGCCTCGGTTTCCCCGGGGCGCCGCGGGGCTCGGGGGCCCAGGTCCGAGGCCCGCGGCCAGTCCGCAGCGGCCCGTGACCTTTCCTCCTCCCTTCCGCCCCACGCTCACCTGGCCGCGCGGAGGCCGCCGAGCCCGGCCCGAGTCTCGCCCGGAGCCCGGAGCCCGGAGCCCGGAGCCCAGAGCCCGCAGCGGAAGCTCCGGATACGGACCCGCCGCTGCCGCTGCCGCTGCCGCTGCCGCTGCCGCCGCGGAGCCAACCCGGGAGCGGAGGCCGCGGCGCGCATGGCGCATGCGCCTCCCCGCCCCCGCAGGCTCCGCGCCGGGTTTTCGTCACCACCGACGGGGGTAGGGGGCGGTGCAGGAAGGAGCGCCTGGAGATGGACCCGAGAACGGCGGCGGCCCCCCCGAAGGGGCGGGGCATCAGCTGGCGCGCTACAAAGCCCGGAGAAGAGAGTCCTTTCCGGAGCGGAGCAGCGATCGAGGCGTAACATTTAGAGTTGGAAGGGACCTTAGCGGAGGTCAGTCCAACCTCCTCTCTTCACGTACGAGAAAACTGAGGTCCCAGAGGAAAGGGCCTTTCAATAAAGTCAGAGGATCACGGAATTCAAAACTGGAAGAGGCTGGATGGATTTTCTAGGAACCGTTCATTTCCTTTCTGTTCTGGCATCCCTGGTTCCATTGCTGGTTCTGCATCCCCAGCCCTGTCCTTTCTAAGACCCTGCAGAGAAAGGAAACTTCCTCCTTTGGGAGGACCCCATGCCCATGACAGGTCCAGTCCCTTATCCCTATTCCCACCTCAATTCTATGTCCCTACCAGCACTGGTGGAGGGTATTGTCACATCTGGGAGATCCACTATACAAGTGAAATCACAACTTTGGTACCTATACCTCAAGCCTATCCTATCCCTTATATAGATGCCTGGCAGGCTTTTTTTTAGGCTATTGGGGTTAAGTGACTTGCCTAGGGGTCACGGGGCTAGTAAGTATTTGAATTCGGGTCCTCTTGACTCCAAGGTTGGTGCTCTATCCACTTCCCCAACTACCTGTCCCCTGGCTGCCCCCTGGCAGGTTCTTAATAAAGACTCAGGGTACTGAATTAAATCCAGTTCCTTCATTTTACAGATGGAGAAACTGAGGCTCAAAAAGGGCAAGTGACCTGCCCCAAACTGCAATCAGTCAACGGTAATAATGAACATTCATATAGCCCTTCCATGCTTGCAAAGCACCTTCCTTACATTATCTCATTAGATCACTCAGGGAAGTAGGTACTATTTTCATCCTCATTTTACAGGTAAAACGGGGGAGATTAAGTTACTTTTTGAAGCCAAAAGACCTGGCTTTAAATGTCACCTCTGGTACTTATTACCTGTGTGACCTTGAACAAGGTAACCAACTTCACTGTGCCTGTTTCCTCCTCTATAAAATGAGGCTGGACTTGAAACCTCCTGAAGAAGCTGAAAAACTCTCCATCTGTGCTAGGTGACCCAAGGTCATACAGTACAAGTTAAAGACGGAATTCCAACCCGATTCTTCCTGATTCCAAGTCCTCATTTCTTGTGCTGGATTTCAATTCTGTTAGACCCGGGTGTAGTGAACAACTCAGACAAATGCTATGTCACTCAGGGACAGTCATTTAACCTTTTGGAGCCTGCGGCTCAGAGAGATAAGACCAGAGCGAGTTTATCTAATGGCAGATCTTACTTGGGGTCCAGAATCGGCCACTTCCTGTGACCTTGGGCTATCTGAGCACAGAGTTCCCGCTGGCACTGCCTACCTCGAAGCTTTCTGAAGAAAACACTTTGTAAATTGTAAAGCTACAAAAAGTGTAAGTGAGTGATTCCTATTAATATCCAGAGCAGGCCCAAACCAGATTATTCAATATACATATCTAAATTCGTGTGCATATGTGTATGCAGACAAGTATACACATGTTCATATACACTCGCGTGTACATATGCATACTGCTTCAGACTCCAGACTCACTGTTTTAAGGACTATTTTCCCGCAGGAAGCCACGAGTCACACCTCCATACAGACCTAGCCTAGAGCACATGGCAACAAGTCACGATCCGAGCTTAAAAAGTAGCAATCACTTGCAGAGTGCCCCTCCACCCTTGACTCAAGGCAAAGGAACTCCCACACGTGGCCCCCTACATGCCCTCCCAGACTCGACTCCACCACTGGAAAGCACCAACCTGGCTCACGCCCTGCCCAGCTCTGACCCTGGCTTCTTCTTCTCTGTCCCAGGGCGATACTCCTTTAATCCTTTCTGTTCCGAAGCCAAGCTCGCCTTCCTCTCTCCTTTACGGAAGTTTGAGAGATTCGTGTAAGGGTCGCTTTAAGAAAAGGGGGAGGGCCTCCCCCGAAGAGCCCGCCTCCGACCCCCGTAGGGTCCAGCTTTTGAATTTCCTTCCACCGGCTTCTGAATTTCCTTTCATGTGCTTGGGCTCCCGCGGTAGGCGTGGCGCGGCTCCAGTGGGCGATGAGGTCAAGGAACTAGCGGTGTGCCTTGCAGCGATGACCGGCTGCGGACTCTGGGCTTTCGGAACCAGCCTCCCCTAGGCCGGAGCCTTAGCTCCGGACGCCGCAGACGCTCTCCTTCCCGGGAGGAGGGAGTCCGACGCCCCGGGTTTCCGTGTGCTCTCACAATGCCTCCCCTCTCCAACCTCCGAGGCTCACGAGTTCTGCTTCAGGCGGACTTCAAAATGCTACAATTTAACTGTTGCCGCTTCGTGCCTGTTTCTAAAGAGACTGGCTTGTAGAAACTAGAGCACCCGCAAAATGAAGGGGGGCGGAGTTAGGAAGAGCTCAAATTCAAGAAGGGCTTATTAATGGAGAGGTAGCACGGAGACTGGATAATATTCCAGGGTTAAAGGCAGGAAGACCAAGGTTTGAAGCCTGCCTCGTATTTCCTATTGTGTAACTAACCTTGGAAAAGTAACTTCGTTGCTCATTCTCAGTTTCCTCTTTTGTAAAATGGTGGTAAGTGTCTCCACTGCAAAGAGCTGTCCCGAGAATTAAATGAGATATTGGTAATGTGCAAACTTCATAGTATGAATGTCAGTTGCATCTACCACTACGTGCTAGGATACAGTAATCACTGACCTCAAGGAGCAGCCTTCCACCGGGAGGGGTCTGAGGATGGAGGAGGGATAAAACATTTCACCAAAAAAATGATATAATAACCACCAAATCTCAGAAAACGAAAGTCTCCAAGATTTTATGAACGTACACACGTCAGAAGGGCTTCTCCCTCCTCTAGGTCAGTGCTCACACCTTGTTGGGATATGGACCAAATATTTATTTCATAGAAACTCTGCAACATTGGCACATATCAGTTGGCTGTTTCACACCAGCTTTCTCCAGCCAACAGGATGCATTACTCAGTCTCTCCTCACAGTCCTCTAGTGCCTTACCAAAGACAATGATGACATCAAGGCATACATACACTTCTATGCAGTGTGCCAGAACCTCCAAACCCAGTAACGAGAGCTGATTATTACATTTTCTTTTTCTTTTTTTTCTTTTTTTTTTGGTGAGGTAATCAGTGTTAAGTGACTTGCCCAGGTCACACAGCTAGTGTCAAATGTCTGAAGCTGAATCTGAACTCCGCTCCTCCTGACTCCACTGCGCCCCCTAGCGGCCCCTAATTATTACATTTTCATTGTGAGCGTTTACACCTCAGGCTGTCAGTACTGAAGGAACCCAAGGCTTCATTCCTAAAAGGCCTATTGTTCTAGGTACCAAGGTTTGTTCAAATTGGCCCAGTGTGAGATTAAATAGAAAAATTTTTCCCCCCAAAAAGGTTGGGCGTGTAGTTAAATGTTGTCTCCCGTCTGCTTTCTTTGTGGGTTTTTTAAATTAAACTTTATTCTTTTAAATGAACAAAAATCTATTTTCTCCCCTTCCTGTCTCTTCCTTCCCATTAAAAAAAAAAAGAAAGGAAAAATCCTTTTAATAAATATGCGTAGTCAAGCAAAACAAATTCCTGCATTGGCCATTTTCAAGAAAAAGGTCTCATTCTACATCTTGAGTCCATAACACCCCTGCCAGAAGGTAGGAAACATTTTTCATAAGTCCTCTGGAATTGTGGTTGGTCATTGTGTCAGTCAGAGTTCTTAAGTCTTTCTAAGTAGTTTGTGTTTGCAATATTGTTATATAAATTATTCTTGCTTTTCTTATTTCATTTTGCATTAATTTATGTAAGTCTTCCCTGGTTACCATCCCCTTCATAACTTCTTATAGCATACTAGTATTCCATTAAATCTACACACACTTATTTGTTTATCCATTCCTGAACTGATGGGTACCCCTTTAATTTCCAAGGTTCTTTAGCACCACAAAAAGAGCTGCTATAAATATTTTTGTAAAGGTTTTGTTTTGTTTAGTATAGATTTGGGAGTGGTTTTCAAATACCATTGGCTTGAGCCCCCACCAGTGTTTTCCACTCAGGATTATAGAGAATCATTTTAGTCAATCAGATTTAAGTAGCTTTTTGAAAAGGGATTTACATAATATCCTCCGCAAAGGCCTGTGACACATACTTTCCCACAAATCAATTCAGAGTCTAAAGCTCTGAAGTCAGACAGCCTAAAGGACGCATGTGGCAAAGAGGTAAGATGCAGCTTTTGATTACTGGAAGTCTTTTTCTCCCATTCATAAGGTACTGTAGAAGTTCTTCTCAAGCACCCTTTTGTCCCCGCAAAAAGAGCTGCTGTAAATATTGTTGAACATATGGGTCCTTTTCTTCTTTCTTTGCTCTCAGAGGCAACTTTGAAGGAAAGATGTCTGTCAGTCTTTTTTTTTTTTTTAAGGGATGGTGAATTCTGTTGACTTTTCCTTTGTCCATGACCAGATGTTGCCTCAAACTAGCCATTTGAGTGGGAGGAAACTGAGTGAAAGAAAGTTTCAGATGTTTAATGTGGTCATTTTGTCTTGGAAGGGGATTTTTATATTCTTGTTCTGAGAGACATTTTGTTTGAATTTTTTCCTTCCTTTTCATAGTGAGTAGATTTTCTTTTGAAGCCCAATTTTTTTTTTCTTTCTGGTAGTATCTTGGAATTGTTTCTTATGTACTTTTAATTTATTTTTATTTTATGAGGGTGTAATGATCTTATCTAAACTAACTTGGCTCCATCTTTACCTGATATTAGCATGAAAGTATTGTTTTGTGATTGCTAAATTTATTGATAGGCTATATCTCTTAAAAGTTCTAAATGCTACTGTGTGCACAATTAATTGCTCTTTTAAAACATGAAAGTTGTTGATACTGTTTTTATGACTCAAATTAATGTCTCTTGCCGTGACACTGTATTGTTTAAACACAGAGTATTGGACATCCTCCACTGGGTGCCTCATAGACATCTTAAGCTCAAAATGTCTGAAACTGAACTCAATTATCTTCCCTCCCAAATTCTCCCCTCTTGCAAAATTTAAATGCAGTACTTACAAATGCTCCCACCATTCTCCCAGACTCTCAAGATCTCAACCTAGGAATCATCCTGGACTCCTCAGTCTCTCATCTCCATGCCCCACCCCCTTCCTTCTTCCAACCTGTTGCCAAGGCCTTTTGATATCACCTTTGCAGTATCTCTAAAATCCACCCTCTTCTCTCTTCTGATGCTGCTGAAGGTTCTCCTCATCTCACACCTGGACTATTGCAGTTGCCTGTGGGCAGATCTGCCTGCCTCAAGTCTTTCTCCACTCCAATTCATCCTCCATCCAACTATTGAGTATACTAGTGCCAGAAATGTTGAATTGATTGTACAAAAGCTGCTGTCTTCTTTTCCTTGAGGCATGACCAGAGAAGGAGCCCTCCTTGGTCCATGAAGACAGTCACACTGATGTCATCATCAGTTGCTTATACCTGAACTCATAAGACTTCATGCAGAAGCAATGGTAAAAATTGAGAATGTGGACTGTATTGTCCTGGATAGTGAATCTCAAGTTAACATTGCTTTCCAATCTTTTTTGACACTTTTGGGGGGGAAAATCCTTTAAAACTTATGACAAGGCTTGGACTTGGTGAGTTGAGTGCAAAAGCCTCTCCACGTGCATTAAGGTGAGTTTGAGATTTCCCAAGGCAGTCATTAGTGTTGGCAGGAAAGTGGACACTGTGGTTCTGCTATGTCCAGAGCCTCTGATGCTCACTAGGATGTCAGCACTGATTAGAACTCATCCTCGGCTTTTCAGAGTTCTAGCAGGATTTTTCTTTTTTCTTTTTTTGGTGAGGCGATTGGGGGTAAGTGACTTGCTCAAGGTCACACAGCTAGTACGTGTCGAGTGTTTGGTCTGAGGCTAGATTTGAATTCAGGTCCTCCTGACTTCAGGGCCGGTGCTCTATCCACTGTGCCACCTAGGTGCCCCAGCAGGATTTTTCATGCAGTAAGCTGGCACCGACTTCTTCACAAGTTGTCATCCCTGCTGACCATTCAGATGCTTTCAAAGGGATAGAGACAAGAGCCATCAGGGGATATCATGAGCGCTCCAACTTTTCAACCTTGAAACTGGATCTCGATGTATTTGGGGCTTTCCTAGAACCAAATGAGTGAAAGAGGAGGTTGAGCCTGAAACTCACCAAGAAGACAGATGTGTTCTCATTGCACGATCAGGATATGATCAAGGTGTGACTCATAGAATCCAGCTCACTGACTCCCAACCACTCGGGGAAAGATCTAGAAGCCTTCTTCTTTCTCTGAGGGAAAACCGCAGAAACCATCCCCCAAAAATGCTGGTCAATGACATAATCCCAGAATCTAGCAGCTCTTAGGCATCCCCCATGGTGGTGGGGCCTGAGAATGAACAGAAAGTTATGGATCTGTGCAGATTATCAGAATTTGAACAGAAGGAGCAAATACTCTGTCACAGGTACAAGATACCCTGCACCGTCCACTAGGCAGCCAGTCCTTTTTCGTTTGGGACTTGTGGAATGAGTACTACCAGTTTTCTATGTCTAAGGAAGACAAGGAAAAGACTGCTTTCACCTGGATTTTCCCAGTTTGAGTGTGTGCCCCGAAGGATCTTGGGGGCATCAACCATGTTCTGAGTGCTAATGAAGAAAGAAGCTGGGGATATGAACTACCTAGAACTATCTTCATCCTCCTCCTTGGCTGTGCTTCTGCTTTGGCAGACTTGGATACTGTGCCTCATCTGCCCTGGAACCTCCCCTTCTCCCACTGGTGAGTTCCTTCTGGGGCCTCCACTTTGGGGAGAGGCCCAGGCTGGTCAACCTTCATTCTCTTCCTGCCTGTGTTTCTGGTCTTCTGGATGTCAACATCATTTCTGCTCCCCCCTTTTCTAACTTCCTAATGTGTCTTCACCCATTAGAATGTGAGCTCCTTTA